AAGTGTATGCCTTAAAGGTTTATTACAAAGTTTAGATGATGAGTGTTCCGGTATGGGTACAGCGTTACTAACTTGCCAGATGTGTCTGTATCCTAGCCTAATTCTGGCCACGACTACATCACATTGTCTGATTCTGTCCTTATGCTGGCCATACCGGTACCTCTCGCCACAAAATTTGTCATATTTACTAATGCTACAACTGCCAGGTCTCTCTGCATTTCTCAGTTCTTCTAGATCAGAGTTCATGATTCTGACTTGAATGTTTTTTGAAGTACATCATTGGACAGGCCAAGGTCACTGTCAACATTTTCTTTCTTGCAAGCCTCATTGGCCAGTCTATCAGCACGGTCATGCTACCTAATTCCAACATGGGACGGAATCCACACAAATTCGATACGACAGTTGTTCTCATTGACAGATATCACATTTCTTTTAATATCACATACAACTTTAGACATAGAACCTGATGGGCTGTTGCTTCGCTAGGCAGCGGCCAGTATGGGGGTGGTGAGGGGAGTGTTGTTTGTTGTACCAAGCGAACAGGCGCTGACTCAGTCCTACTATAATGAAGCCAAGGGGTAGAGTATGCTGAATCAGCTTAATGTATCTACCCGGGTCTTGAGACGCTAACATATAACCACCAGTACGTCTCAACTGATCGCCCTAAAGGCCTAAACTTACCGAGGCTTTCTGCTCTGAGCCAGACCTGCAATACGTAAGTGTGCTGGGAAACCTATTATGTTATATTGTGTTACTATTAATAAAATGTATTAATTTATGTGCTAATATTAACAAAATGTATTCATATATTAGTAACCAAATTTTACTAATTCCCATAAAATAAAATAAATTACAGCAAAGTTATTTCTACTTAGTCAAAACACCTGTTGCGTATTAAGGTTTAATCGGACGAGTATGTCTCTTGAGAGCTATATTAAAAATTATATAATATCATGCCAGTTATACTTAGATTTTTTTTAATGAGATTCCATGATTTAACGTCACTCTAACCTTTCATATCCATAGAAAACTTTGCTCGGGTCAAGGAGTCGAAAATGTCATAGATACGCATATAATTGGGTCTCGGTGAGTAACTACGTCATTTATATTTACTTGTGGTCATGGTCAGGTCACCAGGGGTCAGCGCTTAACAAAATAGTTTACTTTGTATCAATTTTGAGAGTGAGAAAGGAAAGGGGGTGGGGGATTGCTTGCTGATCGTGCAGTATTTTTAGTTACTGTAGGTCGAGTTGGTTCGTTTCGTGTCCTGTCAAATGTGATTCAGCTCCGTTTCCTCCCAGGTGATCGGATACAAACGAACTGTTGTCATTTTTATGAGCATAATAAACATATGCTTTTTGTTCTTTAATACTTTTCCGATGCAGAATATTTACTGCATGTCTTATGGTGAACATATCAAGAAAAATCACGTCAAAACTAAAGTGCCTGTAATCAGGCAGCGTCTTTTCTTTACAACTATACCCGTTTCTATAGGTTTCTAGTTTTTCATTGTGGATTTGATTTACATATTTTGCATTCACGAAACTATAAATCCCTCATAAGAGAAAGTGACTTAACGACGCCCGTAACCAGAAACATGGACTTAATATTACGCTGGTCAACAAATAACAGGCTACGTGTGTGAGGACACACACACACACACACACACACACACACACACACACACACACACACACACACACACACACACACACACACACACACACACACACACACACACACACACACACACACACACACACACACACACACACACACACACACACACACACACACACACACACACACACACACACACACACACACACACACACACACACACACACACACACACACACACACACACACACCAGGGGCCTACATAACACAAGAGGTCATCCGGGAATTATTTCATAATTACTTATGTGTGGAGGAGAAAAAGAAGGTAGTTACAGTAATGCATATAGTTCATAATGTTTGCGTTCTTTATTTGGTCTGTTGTGTTGATCATATACTGCAGTACTACTCTAACCTGGTCCGTACAAACTGGCTGTGGTGTGACGCCCGGAGTTTTAATTGACCCTACTTCTCTCTTCCATGAAGAACCCGCAGGTAGGAGTCGTTCCTTCAAGCGGTAGCTTTAATCGCTCGAGCCTCCTCAAGCCTGCGGGTCCGTCGAGGTAGAGTTGGCAAGCCTCTCCACCTTCGCTGAAAAATTATGGGTCGTCTTACTCGTGTGGTTGATATGCCGGAAGTGCGTTTTTTTTTACAAACGCTGGCGCCAAATTCAAGACTGTACACGGACTACTCCTCTCAACCGTAGCAAAGAGGACAAGCCCTATAACTCCCAAAGAAAGGAAGTTTTTATTGCCTTTAATTGGCAAGATAGGACAGATGTGTTAAGGTAGTGTTATTAAAGAAGTAAGCTTGATGACATAACATCGAAGTTTAACGCCGAGGGATATGGATCTCATTGATCTGAACCAGAAAGATGGAAGATCTGGGAGCATCTTAAAATAAAGTAAGTTCAACAATTTGTTAAGTAGGTTACGTTAAATAGGGGGTAAATGACAACTACGCTCTCTCAGACAAGCAAACTCCCCCATTTTCATCTCAGCCTTCTGTATCTCACAAACTTGAAGTTCGTAGTTCTTACTGGTTGGGAAGTTCAAAGGTGAACACGTAGGTAGCTCAAACATTAAATTAAAAAGTTAATGAAGTTAGCCTTCAATTCCTGCCGCCTGCAGGGGGTATGGTATGATTATTATTACTTGCCTAAGAGAGTTTGTAAGAGCTTGCGCTTGGCAGCAAAACAAAACACAAGTCTCTTGAAGATGTCGTAATATTGGCTGTAAAAACCAATGTATTCTTTTTAAAATACCATTATGTTTTTCTTGCTCATCAATTACGAAGAGGCTAATGAAAATCAGCTACCAGCCACATCTTCAAATTCCATGAATATTAGTTCGTTTTTTCTCCGCTCCTCTCCGTCGAGCGCTGCTTCGCGTTTAAAATTATGGCTGTCGGCACGACAATCCCCGTCAACGGAAGACGGTGATGAAAACTCCGGGCGTAAGCCTTCTTCCTCCGCAAGTCCTATACTATGTTCTGGCATGATTTCCAGACCGTCTGAACCAGTCGTGGCTTCAGTAGTGGCGTAATTTACTCCATTCATGTTACAGTTGATGAGATTTTAGATATTTGGTGTATGTGGAACAGCGAAGTGACAGTAAGGTCTTCAAGTGGACGCTTATGTTAAAGTTTCTTGATTCTGAATATTGTAATATCCCTTGCAATGTTTTTCGTCTCAGAAATCTCCAGGAAGATCATCGATTGAATACCCTAGTTTATGCTTATACGCCCGGAGTTTTGTTCTCTAACATCACATCCAATTTCTTCCTGTTTTCTCTAAACAAAATCGATTGTATATTGTATTACGAGAAAATAAAAAGAGAAGTAGAATTGTTGTAGAATTGTTTGAATATACCACTGTGTTTTATGCCCACATTGATATCTCTTAAATGCCACTCAGTAACTTGACCGATTCGGTATGCACAAAACGAAAAAAGGGTCGAAGTATTGATTCACACACACACACACACACACACACACACACACACACACACACACACACACACACACATAATTATATACTGTACATTTCTAGCCAATATGTCAAGACCACCGCCGACAGTTTCGTGTAAGAAGGCTATACATGCCTCCTCATAGCCTATACTTTGTTATGAGATTTTAAATACCGCATATGTCTCATGTCTCATGTTGGGGGTCAATGAATATTAAGTTAGAGCGTTGATGTCTGACAAAAAGACCAAATTTCACAACTTACTGATGCCTGTAGCTGATAAAGAGATCCCTGCAGTGTGTATCCAATATTAAGGATTTTTTTAGGATTAACTTCTTTTTTACGATGTTGTTTTCTTGTGGACAAATTCTACTCCTCACAACAAATTATGATAAAAATATGTTTTGAGTGAGAGCAACTTGGTGGTGTTTCGTGGACGACCTTACTGTATCATCTATTTTTTTTAAACTTCTTAATTCAGAGCATTTTTAATTCTGGCCATTGACGTCTATTAGCATCAGTTCTGAACGTGGGTTGACGAGATTTGGGGGAAGGAGGAGGTGTCGATACATGCGGAAAAGTGAGTTAATATTCAGCATAACTCATAATTCGAGAAGGATAGAGCCCCTAACATGACGAATTATGAATTATGGGAGTTTTAGTGTACATTGGGAGACATTACCTTCTATGTTTATTACTGTACTTGAGTCTACTTTGAACCAGGAATAGTACTTGTTATTTAACTGAAGCACAGTTTTGTCAGACTTACTTGCTCTTCAACTAAAGCAAAAAATAATAATTACCTTTTGCATATGTGGGTGTCATTAAGAGGACTGTACTTTGATAATTATAATTGCCAGGCAAAAATCTCCACACAGCTTCCTCTACAAATAATAAAAATAAAAATAAAAATATTAACACAGGGAATTTGTTATTTATACTTGTACTCGACTGTAATATTTTGCACTATTTACCTCAGCTATTAAGTCTGTTCTGACCCACACACTTGAGGGAGTAACTCTCATGGTGGTGCTATTTGACTGAACCGGCCAACACTTGGAAATTATTATAAATGCCGGCCGTAGGTTGTAAGTTGAGGACGAGAAGCACAAGAAATAATTAGCATAGGGAAACATGGGAATTAAATGAAGATATAATAAATAACAAAACCATAAAGATAAATGAGAGGAAAATATTTTGTTAATGAGGTGATGGAGGAGGTGAGGAGCAGATGGTGGATGCTACTCAGATGCACCAAGTATAAATATCAAAGTGGTTCGGACTGGAGACACACCCAGGAAAAAGACACAAAGAGTCCGTGTGTGTGTGTGTGTGTGTGTGTGGTGGTGGTGGCGGCGGGAGTGTTCAGGGCGGGGAGGGAAGCAATCAATCAACAGCCGAGTAGTATATATGGTGTTTCTTCAGTACGCTGTGGGCCGGCCGGGACTGGAGACGTTCTCCCCACGCATCTCCCATCATCATCTACGCCAACCTCTTAGGATCTTCCCTCCCTAACAACACAGTGAGGGTAAGTTACTGCTACTCTTGCTGGCCTGCTCTTATTGGACGTAGCCAAGGTTCAATAATCTATATCGGAATTGTGACGATGCATAGTTTCACCTTGCGTGGGGCCCGGATGTCCATGGCGGCTCTTGTAATGTCGCCTTGTTGTGAAGAAATCATTATCAAATGCTCTTTGGTTGCACTTGAGGTTTCAACAATACACAGGAATGTGGAAGATATTTCTATACCAGCTTTCAAAAGGACCTGGAGATAAATCCAAGATCACACCAGCCAGGTGAAGTAGAGAGACTAAATGTTTAACAGCATCCTCCACACAAAAGTTTAAAAGGTCCAGTTTCCAGAGAAAAAAATCCCACAATATGATACTGTTTGCTTCAGGAAGGTGTTAAAAAAAATTTTTGCTCAGACGATACATCCTGGTGTGTTAGTCCACAACAGCATCATAGTCGAGGCTGATGTTTTGTAGATGTTCAAGATAAAACTTGTTATCTCCGGCCTCTGTAAACTAAAGTTTACTTTCACAGATTTAGGCGAAAATATCTCGCTGTGCCTACTACTTCGTTACGGGGATCTGGGTGGAAACCAAGAAAATCGCTCTGACCTTTCGTAAGAGAACATTATTCACGGTACTCAAATTCCTGGAATATATGCCGTGTTAATGGCTATACTGTAGTCACTCTCTGGTCCTGATGGATATGTAAAATAATATAGACCCTGCATAACATTACTGCACAAAGCAAGGGCTGTGCCTTTGAAACTGATCAGCCGTTCTCTTAGATGACACTACACCCCGGCAGTTCCCATTTATTGATCTGTACAGGAGACTCCAAGCCATCGAAACAACCACTTAGCTGAGGATCCCCTTCTTCTTTCTGAAGATAATTTATCATCATTTCCTCTCGCACAATATTGGGTAGACAATCAATATTTCCACTTGTATCAGTCCTCAGGTTGGAAATCGCAGCAACACTCAGAGGTTGGAGAGATGTCAAGGGAAAGAGCCAAGCACAAAAGGTCACCTGTCACAAAACTCCTGTCATCAGTCTCAGCCTCGCATCCAGCGGAGCAGCCGTGCACCCAGATCACTGCCTGACACGACGTAACAACATGAATAACTTAAAGAGCATTGATTACCCGTCCCTGGCGTGCGTCACATTATCGAGGGATATTTTTTAGCACGCTGTTATTGTTCGTTTTTCCATACCCGGTGTTTTATCGGAGATGTGAATAATTAAGATGATCCTGACGTGTATGTGTACCGAAGGTCGATGACTGGTAGGTGCACCTCCCGGGCCCCGTACGCTTAGATATTTGTTGTGTTTTGTACTGGAGGTTCTGTGTGGTAACATGCCCTTTCTTGATGGGATCCTGCACGCGTCTCTCTATGCTCTGGGCCTCGCGCATGGTGTCTCAGAAGCGAATAAAGAATTTATTGCTTCTCACACTTCCTCGATCTCTCTCAAGCAGCATCGAGAAAGTGACAAAATATTGCACCAAGACACGAGTTATTGTATTTTGTTAAAGAGTTTTTATTTAAGTGTGTTTTTAGATGATGTACTTTAATATTATATTCTGTTGATGAATATACATAATAATCTTCCTGGACTGAGGACCATCTGAAAAATTACATATACGCTGCCTTGCGTGATTCATGTATCCATAAAACAGGAGAGTAAAAGACCGGAGCAATGAACACAGGAGGTAAGTGGTAGTGGTCTGGTGGCTAAGTAGGTAGGCATGTTTACTGAGAAAACAGCCACGAGCGGCGGCCTTTACCTGCGCTTCATCATGTGTTGTGTCGAGTGTGTGGGTGTCAGTGTTTCCTTCACATGTTATGATGACGCCACAGGATGTTTCCAACGTATGGTGTCACTTGGAGAATTTTGGGGTAGACCTGGTTTCCGTTAACATGAAGGGGAGAACACACACACACACACACACACACACACACACACACACACACACACACACACACACACACACACACACACTTTTCCTTGGAAGACTTGACCCCACAACTCAGAGTAGAAATCGAGTGTGCTACGACTATATCACGAATGGCTAAAAGTCACTTGAACTAACCTCAAACTAACTGACCCGAGGAATTTAACCTGACTGTCACAGAGCACACCCGGTGTGTCCCAGTACATGGCCTTCCCTCACTCAGTACTATGACCTTTAGCTCTTTGGGTACAGTGGTAATAGTCGAGGAGCCATACATGATAAAGGGGGCTATTTTTTTGAGTGAGTTCACGATGTTTTGTCAAAAGCAACAACCATTATAAATTCATTGCAGAGATCCTTGTGATACATTTTCTGCAGGTTTTCACTCCCCCAGGTGGTGCTGGGCCTCACAATCACTAAATTCAAGATGGGCGCCAGTAGAGGAATGGGTATCATTTTTTTTTTTGCAATAACTTCCCACACAGTCCACATAGAGACTAGATTTTTGTGTTTAAATATATGTTTTGGGGGTCTGAGAACTCATTAAACTACGATTCAAGTACTTATATCAATCACAAATGATGAGTATGCTGATGATTTGCTTCATTTTGCTTGGTAAGGCACTGAGGGATATGCTGTCCTGGATAACCATCTATGATCATGTGAATTCTGCAAGATGGAGCGTGATATACTTAGTTTATATGATGCAACTGGAAAAAAAAGCTCCAAATGTCTATAGAGCATTTGTAGCTGGCAACCAAGTCCATACAGATATGGCTCTGGAACACATCAAGAAGCTTTGCAAGGTGTCTGGGGGTATTGTTGGCATAACTCGAAACAAGGCAGCTATAGATAGATGGATGCTTACTTGTTGTGATCTATCACGCTTATCAGAAGATGCACAGGTGTTAGCAGGCTTATCATCATCTGGAACATCACACACAAACAGAAGGACATGGGGCGCCATCGACTAGCTAGAGATGAAGATGATGTGGCAAAGTTAATGACACAGTTCCTGGAGTTCAATCCATTAGACAGAGAGTCATTTGAGCTGACATGCATTTCAAGTAATGATGTGGTTTCATCTGAAGTGAAGGAAGACATCCTTTCAGCACATGCGCGTGGTGAAGAACTTGTGAGGAGGTTTATGCAGGACCGCCTGGGACAGAATGCTACAGTGAAATTCCGGTCAACATTACCAAGGCAAAAATCAAAAACCTTTGCTTCTCTCACCACCATACCAGCAAATGCTATGGTGCGCCAAATAGATATGGTGAAAACTGTTCGTGATTTATTCAACCACCTGTTCAGTGCCTCTGTAAGTGGTCGCAATATCAACGTCTCGGCTCTTCTTAGTTATGAGCTGGCAGATTATCCCTTGTCACTGACTAATGATCGAGGTGAACTCGGAAGATCTGATAAAGCAAGCCTGTCCCACATCATTGCTGATAAACATACAGTGGAATCAGTACCACCGACTAATCACAGTACATGTGTGATTATAGATGCAATGACTCAAGTACAAGTCGTTAGTAAACCTACCAATGGAAAAACCTTTGGAGGTCTAGCAGATGCTTACTGTCAGTCAGTCTTCAGCCACTTCAGTGATGCATGTACAAGGGTTGGTGTTATCTTTGACTACTACAGGACAGACAAAATAAAGAGTGGCGCTAGGGATCATCGGACAAGTAAGGGTCTGAAAATCAGACGAATTGTTGATTCCTGCAGTGTCCGACTGCCAACCTCCTGGACCAACTTCCTCAACCTGGAAGAGAACAAGCAGAATTTATTACATTTCTTGACAGGAATTATTACTTAAAGCAGATGCTCTACCAGCTCATCAGGAATTGGTGGTGTTAGGTGGATGCAAGACACCTGAAACTGTTCTCTCCCCAACCAGATCAAATGTGACTCACTTATTCAGCACACAAGATGAAGCAGATACGCGGATTGTTCTCCATGCTTCCGATGCTTCAGTCAAGAATTTCCACCGTGTTATTGTGTACAGCAAAGATACAGATGTTTTCTTACTCCTTATCTACCACGAAACCACAACAGAAGTATGGATGCACGCTGGTACAAAGCTGAAACCCAGATGTATTCCTGTACATACTGTGAGGGAAGCACTGCTAGGGTCAGTGATCAGGAACCTCTTAGCTTACCATGCTATCAATAGTTGTGAATCAACAAGTCAATTCAGTGGATATTCTAAGATGACAACATGGAAGACATACATAAGAAACCTCACTCTCCTGAACACATTTACAGACCGAGCTGAAAATGCAATGGGAGATGCTGAGAAATTTGTAATCCAATTGTACAGTCTCACATCACAGTGGGACAGTGATGCTGAAATGTTCCACAGGGTACGGAATCCAGAGAAGCTCTCACTAACACAGGACTCCTTATCCTGCACCTCAAAAGAAGTAGCCATCAGATGTCAGTGTGGAAACAGGCAACAATTGCCAAGCCTGATGTTCAACGTTCAACGAAATGTGGGTGGTGTTCTTCTGAAAGTGGTCTAGTACCTGTCCTCGCTTCGCTACCTTCAGTTCCAAAAGTGTGCCCTGAACTGGTCACTTGCAGTAAATGACGATGAAAATAACACTGATGAGGATAGTTGAACATTTATTATGGTTGAAAGTGTCTTACATATCTTTGAATCATACCTTTGGGGCTTCTTCTTGTGGATTTTCATATTAGCAAGGGAGTATAGAGCAGAATTTTCTAGCCTGAGTGATGTTCTGTTATACTACAATATCGGCTACTAAGATGATGCTGGGGTTGAGCAGAGGGGTATCATGATGTTTATGCTTATTGTTCACAAACTAATCTAGTTATGGAAACCAAATTTCAGACAGATAATTCTGGATAATTTTAGATTATTGTATTACCTATTTTGAGAGCATTTTCTTTTATAACCCGGTCACAATTGGAGGTTTTGTACAACTCGCAAATTATCTTATCACAAATTTTGTACTTGCTACTTGTAGACAGGTCAAAATATCACAGTGGTAAAAAGAGAAATATTACTATACAACTACATATTCACATTGCCTG